GGCGGCTCCTTCTCCCTCCACGCGTCCAGCAGCTGCCGCTTGCCCTGCTCCTCCCGGATGAACAGCTCCACCATCAGCGCCTTCTCCTTGTGGATCTGCTGGCTGATGTCCTTGGGGATGTCCGGGATCACCCAGTCCACGAAGTCGCTCATGAACATGACCAGGTTCTGCGGGACGGAGGCCGGGCGTGGGGGCGGGAAGGAGGACCCTGGCCTCTGTGCGGGGAGCCCTTCCCGTGGCTCTGGGCCCGAGGCCTCGGCCGTGCCCGCTGACCATCCCCCACCCCGGGCCCTGCGGCCTCAGCTGTGTCCACTGGCCACCCCAGTCTGGGCCCCCAGCCCTCAGTCACACCCGCTGACGCCCCCAGCCCAGGCCCCGAGGCCTCAGCCATGCCCGCTGACCACCCCCAATCCAGGTCCCAGGGCCCCAGCCGGCCCCCTGACCACCCTCAATCCGGGCCCCGAGGCCTCAGCCACGGCCGCTGATCCCCCGCCCCAGGCCTCGGTTTCCTAGGAGGCAAAGCACCACCGTGGGCCCCTAGGGGAACGTGTGCCGACTTTCTTAAACAAATCTGAACTCAGTAGATGGGAACATTCTCTGAATCACTCTGAACTCCCTGGCCAAGAGGATTAAGAAGTCCTCCGTCAGGCGTCGCCAGATATAACCACATTCATTGAGAAATTCTAAATAGAACAGCCCCGACACGGGTCAGACTTCTGGGCGGGCCTTCGGCCCTGTGCAAAGCCTCGCAAGGGTCCCCTGAGCTCATGCCACCTCCACGGGGGAACTGTGGATGGACGGGGCATGGGGGCTCTTTGGGAGGCCGAGGCGGGAGGATCGCTTGCGCCCAGGGGTTCGAGACCAGCCCGGGCAACACGCGAGACCTCATCTCTACAGAAAATAAAAAAACTAGCCAGGTGTGTCTGTAGTCCCAGTTACTCGGGAGGCTGAGGCCAAAGGATCGCCTGAGCCCAGGAGGTCGAGGCTGCTGTGAGCTGTGATTGTGCCACTGCCCTCCAGCCCGGGCAACGGAGGGAGAGTTGGTCTCTACAAAACATAAAAAAAAAAAAATAGCTGGGCATGGTGGTGCATGCCTGTTATCCCAGCTATTAGGAAGGTTGAAGAGGGAGGATTGCTTGAGTCCAGGAGTTTGAGGCTGTGATAAGCTATGATGATGCCGCTGGACAACAGCCCAGCCTGGGCAACACAGTGAGACCCTGTCTCTAAAAATAAAAATACAAATAATTTTTTCTGAGTTAGGATTCTTGCTCTGTCAACCCAGCTGGAGTCCAGTGGCACCATCACAGCTCACCGCAGCCTCCAACTCCTGGGTTCAGGCAATCCTCCTGCATCAGCCTCCCAAGGAACTGGGACTACAGGTGTGCCCTACCAAGCCCGGCTAATTAAAAAAAAAAAAAAAAAAAGCCGGATGCGGTGGCTCAAGCCTATAATCCCAGCACTTTGGGAGGCCGAGGCCAGAGAATTGCCTGAGCCTGCGGGTTCGAGACCAGCCCGGGCAACTTGGCGAGACCTCATCTCTAGAATACATAAAAAAAATTAGACAGATGTGGTGGCACGTGCCTGTAGTTCTAGCTCCTTGGAAGGCTGAGGCAGAAGGATCCCCGAGCCCCAGCAGGTCGAGGCTTTGGTGGCTGTGAGCGTGCCCCTGCGCTCCAGGCTGGGCAGCAGAGTGAGACTCCGACTCAAAAAAAAAAAATTCTGTCGAGATGGGGTCTCACTATCCTGCCCGGGCTGGTCTTGGACCCCTGGCCTCAGGAATCCTCCTGGGTTGATCGGCGTCTCTCGCCATACAGACACTTCTACTGAGTTCCACCTTGCCCTCCCTGAGTGGGTTGGGACCCTTCCACAGCCGCCCCCGGGCTCCATCGGGCCGCAGCCTTCAATCTCTCGTGGGGTTCTCCTGGGTCCTGTCCTGGCACAGGGCCTGGGGTTGGCCATGGCCCCTCCCCGGGGACCCTGGAGCGAGCCCTGGCCTTCTTGACCGTGGGCAGGGAGCATCCTCGGCGCCCCGGGGACAGGCCTGAAGCCGGAGGGGCCCGCCCACCTGGAAGACAATGACGAAAGCCAGCCGGGCGGCCAGGACGGCCCAGAAGTCCTTGGAGATGTCGTACTTGTGCTCCGACCACGGAGGCTCGCGGTAGTCCTTGTACCTGCAAGAGGCGGCCGGGGTGTCGCGGGCGGGCTCGGGGGAGGGCTGAGGCCCTGGCCGCGGTCCCTCCCCACAGCGGAGGCGGTCAGGGCCTGCCCGGGCCAGGCA